CTCCCCCCACCTACAATCCCTGCCGGTATGAGACTCGAACCCACAACCTTTGGGTTATGAGTCCGACTCACTAACCATTAGGCCACGACTTCCCACAGATGTTTGTGATTGGTTAGTTGAGGCTGAGCCTTTTGTAATTAGATATTATGATTTTGCTGGATCAAATGTAAAAAAAAATAAAAAATAAAAAAAATAAAAAAGTAAGTCTACTTCTTTTTTTGTAATATATTTGGTGGTTTTCCATAAAAAAGGTTATCACATTATTTCGTTAAATACATCTTTACACAGTCAAGGTAAGGCAGTGTTAATAATTTCATATTTAAAATAGTAATTTCATGAGACTTTTTCTGCAACTGTAATTCCTGTGTAAATACATATATGACGCTTCGTGCAGTGTAAATGAATCTTTTCGTGGAATATAAAGCACTGCAGCTTCTGTGTTGCATTTTGCAGTGCAGTGAGTTAAAAACATGATCTGTATTTTTAATGTAACATTTAATATACCTATTGCCTAGGGTGACCATACGTCCTCTTTTCCCCGGACATGTCCTCTTTTTGGACCTACAAAAATACGTGCGGTGTAGTGCCGAAATTTGCACCCTGCCAGATTATTTACCCCCTAGTATTGGTAGGTTTAGGAGTAGGTGTGGGGGAGGGGTTAGGATTAGGGGTGGGGTTGGGATTCCCTCAGGTAGCGACTTCAATGAGGGGGTGCATAATCTGGCAGAGGTGCAGAATTCGGCACAACACCGGCCGGGATTTCTTAATTGCCCAAAATGTCCGGGATTTGGCTGTTTTCTTAATCCCGCTCCCGCTGAATTTCTGACCGCAACATGTGTTTCGCTCCCGTGATTTTCGTGCCCACTCCTTTAAACATTCTAATATTGTATATAATTTTGGGCATCAGGGCGCCGTTCTCAGAATGCGGTGTATTTAAATATTTTTGAATGAGCGTTTGCGCTGTTTACTTTCACTTTCGATTTCGCGATCACACGCACTCTGTAAAGGGAGCACATCTTACAAGATCAGATATTTGTCAATGAGCTCAGAATCTGTTGAGCAGCAAATACTCCAGCATGGTTTTGTCAGTCATCTCTCTTTATTCTCGACCTTTGATCAGTCAAAACTGACTCCTGTAGCTCTTGTTGGATGCAGGGTTGCCAAGTCCGCGTTGTTTCCACAGAATTGGGCTACTTTTAAACTATTGCCATGGGTTGATTTTCCCAAGTGGGTTAAAGGTTTAAAATATTGCATAAATTGCATTTGACCGAAATGCTTGTATTGAAACATTTTGCATTCTACCTATGATAACACTTCCATGGCCTTCTACATTAACTGTTCCCTCCTGGTGGAATGACCTGCCCAACTCAATCCAAGCAGCGGAGTCCTTAATATTTTCAAGAAACGGCTGAAAACACATCTCTTTCATCTTAATTTGACCCTCTAACCCTAGCATGCTCTATTCTAATGCTAATTCTAATTTTATCTGCTTGTTGTTTTTTTATTCAAATCTAACATTTGCACTCTCTATTCTATTTCTATTCTAACTAGCCTACTTGTTTTTTTTTATAAAGAAAAAAGAGCCTCTAACACTAGCATTCTCTATTCTTTCTACTTATTTTCTTTTTATTTATTATAAATAATGATCTTCTAACATTAGCATAATCTATTCTTTTTCTGTTCTATTGACTTGTTTTGTTTTTATTTAAAAATGACCCTCCAACAGCATTCCCTATTTTTGTCTATTCTTTCTACTTGTTTTCTTTTTATTTATTATAAAAACAAAATAAGCAACAACAACAACAACAAAAAAAAACCTTGCTACGTATACTGTTAGGTGAACCCCGCCCCCTACTGTCCTCTTTTTGGAAAACTAAAATATGGTCACCCTATTATTGCCATGCTTTGGCTACTTTCTTGCTAAATATTAAGCAAGAGACGCGAGTCGCCGGGAATCTAGAACGCATCTGACTGCAAGCGTTCGAATTTGGTCGCGTCGCGTTCAGAGCAGACGGGCTGTAAGAGGAGAGGAATATTTTGCCCTTTACTGCCCTATAGAGAGACCGGTGACGTAGAGAATCCCAAAAACTTGCGGAAAGTGTGGAGAAAAACAGACTGCAGTCTATGCATCTCCAGCGAAAATGCGAGGATACACTCAAACTCATCGTATTCGCTTCCATGAAGCGCTTTATGTCCTTTATATGTTGTGTTATGTCAGTAATTTAGCTTGTGCTGCTGCGGAAGTGTCGGACAAAACTGAAGTTTGGAACAAAACTCAGCTTCTCGAACTGTACAGTAAGTGCAATCGGCCTGCGCGACACATCTGTATTTATGAAACGATACTTTGCTCGGTGGCATGAGCGCGTGGGTTTGGTCAGGATCAAGAGTTTGTCGTGTAGATGAAGTGATCTGCAGATTACATTAGTATGTAGAGCGCATAGTCCAGCTCTTCTCTGGGTGGTGTGTCATTCAGTCTCGTACGGGAGAGTAAGCTAAATACGTTTAGTAATGTGTTTTAAAGACTTGCACAACTGCTGCCCTTGTCTTAGGGAAAGTTTTCTGCACACAAACTAACCGATAGGCGGATGCTTATCACATGATACAACAGTTCGGAAACAACTGTAAAAAGTACACTTTGGACTAAAGAACTAAATAATATTTTCAGTGAAGGGTTGTTTTTGTACCGGCATATACCTCAAAGACTTTGACTGACAATCAATGACTGACTTTTTCCGAAAAGTTATTGAACATTTGTTGACCTTTGGGACATGACACAGACTGAGTATGTTTGTCACAATGAAATCTCAGCTAAATGTAAATGGTTAAACAGTTATGACATAGACCAACTGATGAAACTGCAGAACTGACAGGAAACAGCAGAAAAAGATGTTAAATTATTGGTCTGGCCACCGTAGCGATAAATGAATGATGTGACAACTTGCCCCAGTACAATTTAACATAGAACCCTTTGTAAATAACAGTTCAGCTTTTCAGTTAACATCTACCTTCATTATATAGGTAACCTTGGCTGAATATAGTGTAGGTTTTAATATTTATATAACATTTAAAATACAAAACCACTGCTAGAAAAATATTGTTTTTTAAATTAAAATGAAATATACATTAAAAATAAATACAAATAAATGAGTAAATATACATATAACTTTTTGTTGATAACACAGTTCAACTTTTCAGTTAACATCTAACATCATTATATAGGTGACACTTATTGACTGTATATAGTGTTGTTGTTTTATTATTTATTTAACATTTAGCATACAAACCCACTGCTTTTAAAACACATTTTTTAATTAAAATCTATCTATCACTATAGATGGACAGAGTGATCAAGAGGCTAGATTCTATATTTCTTTTCTTTAAGTAATGAACAATCAATTTGGCAATCAATCAATCAATGAAATTTGGCATGTTGTCCACATTTTCCCTTAAAGCCTAAAATTGAACAAATCTTGCAGATAATACAGTATACTGCATGACTTCTCCTCTAATAGTCAGATAATAATCAAATAATCAGAATGTCACAAGTATGTCCCCCACTGAAGGACACAGTGGGTTTTTGAAGTTCATCCAACAGCCTGATTCGCTACATCCCAGTGCATTTACATTTACATTCATGCATTTGGCAGATGCTTTACTCCAAAGTGATTAGCACTGCATTACAGGTATGCATTTATCATTATGTGTGTCACTTGGGAGCCAGCATTGTGAGTCACCCAGCTGGTTATAAACAGGGTCAGCTGAGGTCAGCACATACATAAACACACACCTCAGACCAGTAACAACACGCTCTACATGTCCCATTTGGGTCTTGCAGTACCAGAGGGTTTTATGATCTCACATAGCAAATAATTAATCTGTCACTGAGATATTTATGGTCGTGGAACACATTCAGTTTCAAGAAGTAGGAGGAATGCAGGTAAAGTAGGACACTTTCACCCAAAAATGAACCTCTGTGTGACTTGAACTCTTTTAAAGAGTGTTTCCACTGTTTTTGTTCATACAATTAAAGACAATTGGGTTCAAAACAACACTGGAGCCATACTGATTTTCATTGTATGGACAAACAAAAATCTACAATAATACAACAATCTAATCTTTTCCACTTCAAGAGCATGTAATGATCTTGAGTTGGTATTGTGTGAGGAAGTAAGCCATTTTATTAACATTTTAAAACAGTGCAGATGAAAAATGGTCAGAGTGTGTCATACTTTACTAGTATTCACCCTAGATATCTTAACATGTTATTCCCATTCTCAGTATAAGCTAAATAAAAATGTCACTACCAGACAAGAAAATCCTATACTTCCTATACTTTCAAGCATATTCCTGCTTTCAGACATATGGCGAGGATAATGCATAACTTCCCTTTGAAGTTTGACAATACTCTGTGTGTGTGTTCGACTGGTTGAGAATATCTTTGTCTTTGGCCCATATCTTCAATTACTCTTTCGTGTCAACGCCCACAAAAGACCCTCAGCCCTGTCGGCTCTGAGAACTCTGAAATATTAAGCCCCATTTTGTGGAGGTGAAACTGGAGATAGCAGCTCTATCTTTCTATCTGTTTGCTGCATAATCAGACCTGTCTGATACCTCAGTGCCTCTGAATGCCTTCGAATCTCCAATATCACTTGCCTTTATAATCTAACATGGCTCTGCATGTAAATGGCTATATAATACCCCTAAAGAAAGGCTTTTCCCACTGGTCAAAAAACCCTAGGGCCTCACATCTCCAAGTGTATTAGATACGACAAGAAGATATGCTTTAGCTTGATCAATTTGAAACCTGCCATGCATACCATTGTTGTGCATCTGTGTTTGTGTGACTCAGATAAAGGTGTTTTCCGGTTGGAGAGTATATCGCAGAAGCTTTGCCTCTCAGCGGACACATCCGGTCTATCTCTGACCAGCTGTGACCCCCCGTCTGCCACCTTGCTTTGGAAATGGGTGTCCCGGCACCGTCTCTACAATCTGGGCACCAAACGATGTCTTGGGATCAATGCGACCAAGTTGCTGCAGCCTGATGTGGGCGTCTTTGAGTGTGACGTTTCCCTCCCAACCATGTGGTGGCGCTGTGGAAGCAGCATGTTATATAGTGCGATGAATAATAAGCTAACGGTGGTGGACTCCAAAGTGGTGGTGAGGAAGACCACATCAGTGCATCAGTGGAGGATTTACGGTGCAGCCGGTGAAGGGCCATGCGCTTACCCATATGAAGGCAAGATGTCTTCAGACACATTTTTTAAAACTGGGATTAGCGACAAATAAAAGTGTCCTTGATAAAGCAGAAGTAAAAATTTAGTTTAAAAGCCTTGTCACACTAAGGACGGTAACTGTAAAGATTACTATAATGATAACTATATTAACGCCCACACCAACGGATGATAACGTTCTGTTTATTATAAGCGTGCCTGCCACTTTAAATGTTTGAGCTCTTTGAAATCAGATGGATTCTGATTGCCTATTTTATGGCCAACAAATGTTGTCATTAAAAAATTGGTTAATTTTACAACATATAAACACATAGCATCTAGCCCCAATAAAAATGACAACTTGCCCCAACCTGATATTTATGAAAGATGATAAATATTGTTATGTAATAACTCTGCGTCCAGTTTTTAAAACACAGACAGATTAGCTGGAAAAAAATCTTTTTGAAAGTGATTCCAACAAAATTGTGCCTGTTTCATTATCGTTATTGCTGTGTCTGCTATAAGAACCTTTTTATTCTTATAGCAGTAGAACAATAATTAAAACTTTATAGTTATAGTTAAAGTTATAGTTATCATCCTTGGTGTGAATGGCCCTATGTGCCAAGTTTTAGACTTGCACTCTTTGCATTTGTGTTGATTTCATATGGTTTTGAAAAACTTTTATTTAATTTTCAAGAAAAGTTTAAATTTAATGGCAAATTAAAAAATGTAACCATCACATAAAAAGTAATATATTTTTCATAACATATATATAATTTATATAATATCTTATATATGAAAAATATTACATTCTTACATTTTGAGTACATGTGAATGTACACATCTTAATATATATTAAATATATTAAAATATATTTTTCATTTTTTTATATAATATATTTTGTAAATCACAATATTTTTTATTTATTTATAATAATAATAATTTATAATAATAATTTGAGCCAAACCATATAGATTTTACAATCTTTTTGATATTTTAAGAGACTTACTGACCTTTACCAGTGGTCCTCTCTATGATATTTCCTGTTTTATGTTTTTGTCCTCCATTATTCCACATGTTGGTCACTCACACCACATTACTTAAAACTTAAACTTACCAAAGCTAAACTTCAGTCAACCTGCTCTCTAGGTATCTGTATTGATGACTGTCCCATTTTGGTTGACAACTTTAAAGTATTGCATTCAGTGGATTGTTTGATGAGGTTTATTGGATGTGGCTGCAGTCATATGAATTTCCTTTCTGCACTCTTAAAAATAAAGGTGCTTCAAAAGGTTCTTCAAGCGATGCCATAGAAGAACCATTTTTGGTTCCACAAAGAACCATTCAGTCAAAGGTTCTTTAAAGAACCATCTCTTTCTTACCTTTTGTAATCTGAAGAACCTTATTTCGCCACAAAGAACCTTTTGTGAAACAGAAAGGTTCTTCAGATGTTAAAGGTTCTTTATGGAACCATTTAGACAAAAAGGTTCTTCTATGGCATCGTGAAGCACCTTTATTTTTAAGAGTGCAGCTTCTGCTTGTTCTATAACTGTTGTTTTCGTGATGTTGACAGACATCCACACGTTACAAGGAAACTCCCGTGGGATGACCTGCTCCATACCCTTCAAATACAACAATAAATGGTTCTGGGATTGTACCTCTGAGGGCAGAGAGGACCGTCACCTCTGGTGTGCCACCACTAACCGCTATGATCAAGATGAGAAATGGGGCTTCTGCCCTAATCCAGGTAAAACCACATATTAAGTAATTGAAATAGGACATTTTTACTTTTCTGTACACTACCATTCAAAAGATTGTGGATTTTATGTAGTTCTATTCAGCAAGGGCTGAAGTTGATCAAAAGTGACAGTAAAGACATTTACAGAAGATTTCTATTTTAAACAAATGCTGTTTTTTTCTATTCTATTCATCAAAAAATTGTGAAAAATGTATTACCATTTCCACACACACAAAAAAAATCCAGTACAACTCTTTTCAACAGTGATAATAATAAGAAATATTTCTTGAGCATCAGCATATTAGAATGATTTCTGAAGGATCATGTGACACTGAAGACTGGAGTAATGATGCTGAAACTTCAGCTTTGCATCACAGAAATAAATTACATTTTAAAAGACATTAACATAGAAAGCAGTTGTTTTAAATTTTAATAATATTTGACAATATTACTGTTTAAAAAAAAAACATTAAAAAACATGTTCACATTAACATGTTCACAAGCATTAAAAAAAACAGATCTCAAACTTTTGAACAGTAGTGTACTGTATATTGAGTATATACTATCTAACTAAAGGAATCAAACAGATCATGTCTATGTGTGTTTTCTCCAGTGTCAGACTGCAATGAATTCTGGGAGAGCCATCCAGAGCTGAATGCCTGTTATCAGTTTAACTTGTACTCCATCCTCACCTGGAGTCAAGCTCTTACTTCCTGTCAAGCACAGGGTGGGAGTCTTCTGTCCATCACACAGTCCAGTGAACAGAGCTATATCATAGGTATACACACGCTCAAATGTTTGCACTAAAAGATCTTTTGAAATCATTTCTTTGTGTTTCTTTGCTGACATGTTGCTAATGCTGGTTTGGTGCTGGTATAACTAGATAACCAGCATAGCCGTTGTGTTTGCCAGCTAAATTTAGCTGCTGGAGATGATCTCATGAGCATGCTCTCACTGGTGAAGCTGTTGCCAGTTAATAAATAAATGCACTTAAAATTCACTTACCTCTTTGTCACTGTAACTGTGAATTTTCTTTTTTTTTTCTGTGATACACAAAAGAAAATCTTTGGCTAAATGGCCAAGCTTCTGTTTTCCATTGAAGGATATTAGAAATTACACTTCCGGTCAAAAGTTTGGAATAATTAAGACTTTTAAATGTTTTTTGATAGAAGCCTCTTATGCTCACCAAGGCTGCATATATATATAATGTAGCGTTGGTTTAAAAACAGAATTATTTCAGTGTATATGGTTAGTTATACTGTCTAGCTCTCAAAAAGTAGTCCATGTCACTACTATATACCCAATCTTCTGAAACTATAAGATACATTTAATAGTCATATGGACACCTTTTATGGTGCTTTTGTTCGTCTTGTTAGACCTTAATAGTATGTAGTAAGTAGTATGTAGTAGATACTTAATAGTATCTTGTTGTTTCTTTTTATGTAGTCCAGGGATTGTTACTAAAGAGTTTGTTTGAACATGTTATAACCTAGATGTTTTAGAAAGTCATGAATTTACATAGACATGGTTTCATGGAAGTATTTCATTGATGTGTCACTGCTGTTGTTGTGTTCCACCAGGAAGACTCTTAGATATGGGTGTGATGGTCTGGATTGGATTAAACCATCTCAGTCAACACGGGGGATGGCAGTGGTCTGATGGATCTCCTTTGGCTCTTGTCAGTTATACCGCAGGTACTTTGGCTTATGTTATTAGGCAGAAGAGTTGTTCTTCATGGGCAGTATTACCTATTAAAGGGATATTATTAAAGTTTTTTTGTTTAACAGAAGTTAGAAATCAAGTTTGGAACAACTTGAGGGTGAGTATGTATTTCCTTTAAATACCCTATTCACTGTTTGTTCATCTCTTCCTGTCCAGATCTAACCTCCACGCCGGTGCAGGAGAACCAGCAGTGTGGGGTGTTTAACTCCACGCTGGGTTCCTGGCAGAGTCTGTCCTGTGAGTCAGCCTTGCCTTACATCTGCAAGAAAACCACCAAACACAACCGCAATGCCGAGCCGCTTGGTAAAGAGATGAGTGATCTGACTGGTCATTAATTTTTCCCTTTCATTAATCCAGCTTTTTTGTCTGTCCATCCAACCGTTTCTAATAGCTCTTTGTCATTTCCTCTAACATGTCTGACTTTTCCCAGACTCTCCATTCACCTGGTTTTCTCGAGTCTGGTCTAGTTTAAGCTTCAGCCCCAGCATATAACAGCCAGTATTACGTAAAACGTGTGTCATTTTCCAGCGCTGGAATGAGTCCGCTGTCAGATACAGACTAGTGACTATTGTTTCCATGATGGTCAGCATTGACTGTGATTGGTTTGAAAGAGAAGAATGTGGGCATGTCCTGAGTTTTGCTCAAATGCACAACAGCTGTGTCCCATCTAGAGTTTGAACTCCTGGCCCTGGCTATCAAAAACACACAAACACACAGATTCTCACAGTGTGTGTGTAAATATAGAAATGTCCGGGGTCATCAGCAACAATATAAGAAGACTAGGATTGGCTTGATACTATAAAGTTGGCTTGATTGAAATCAATACCTATTTTTAAATATATTTTTAAATATAGAACCAATAGTTTTTGATAAAAAAAATATTTAAATTGGGTCTGGTCAGTAGTAGTGTTTTTTTTTTTTTTTAATTGGTGTTTTTATTGCAGGACAAATATACAAAGAACCTTTTAGAATTTCTACTTCTTCAAGAGCGATTCACATAATGCTAAGGACTTTCATTCAAACACTTTGTTCCGTTACTATATCACAAAATAAATAGTTTTATTTCTTTTTAGACAAAATACTATAGAATTTTGATATCAGCAATTTATTTATAACCAGAAAATAATTACTGATTTTTCAGTACTGGACAGAAATGTATTATTGGTGCAGCCCTATTTTGTATTCATTCATTCATTCCCCAAATTTCATAAAAAACTAACACTTTTGTTCAGCTAGGATACATTAAATTGATCAGAAGTGACAGTAAATGCATTTAAAATGTTACAATTTTTTTTTTTTAAGCTGCTTCTCTTGAACTTTCTATATTCATCAAAGAATAACTTATAATCTTTTTATTGGTATTTAACCAGATAAATACAAAAGGGTACATTCAATGAAAAGTAAAAAAAATTACAGATTGTCTCAGTTTAACCAACCCTCCCACTAATATAATATAATGTATTATTATATTATATTATATTATATTATATTATATTATATTATATTATATTATATTATATTATAGTATATTATATTATAATATATTATATTATATTATAACCAGTTACCCACACCATGTACAGTATATAAAGGGAAGGAAGAAAGAAAATAATATAAATAAATTTAAATATGAATAAAAAGAGGAAAAAATCTACATGAGAAAAATTATAAACAAACAAACAAAGAAATATTCCTCTCTTCAATATGTATCTTCCGTCTTCCCATTAGGTGTTGTTGGGAGTCAGTTACAGCATATCAGCACTGGGATAGGAGAACAGAGTAAATATTTAAAGTGATCTAAGAAAGCTTTCCAGGTCTTATGGAAAGAATTGAGGCCATCTTAAACAACCTCAAACTTAAACAGCAGTCTGATCTGCAGTATTTACTTTTAAAAATAATTTTTAAATCTTCTTTCTGTCTATTTGTATACAAGATGACTGGCAATATAAGGAGACGATTTGTCCTGATGGTTGGTTGGACCACAATGCGTTTTGTTACCGGTGCGTGGAGGAGAAGTTGAGCTGGGACAGCTCTTCTAGCGCATGCAAAGCTCTGGAGGCAGAACTGGTCAGCATCCACTCCCTTTCCCAACAGGAACTACTACTGAAACTGCTCTCCAATGGTTGGCTGGATTTGATACTAAAGTGAAATGAAATTTCATCGTTTTTAGAATAGTTTTTCGCATTATAGTGTCATTTACTGAAGTCACAGTGATAACAATATGTTATTGGTTATTTCAGGATCCAACTCTAAGGTGTGGATCGGCTTGCATAAGGAGGCCAAACTTTCAACAGTCCAGTGGTCTGACGGCTCTCCCGTCACATTCACATCCTGGTACTCTCAGGAACCTTCCCATTGCCATGGCGACAAACAAATCTGCGTTACCGCGGACTGGAAGGTGAGATCAGAGGTCGGAGATCAGATTAATGTCACAGGGCATTAGTCATAGACCGAGCATACAGTATGTGGTCAGAAAGCAAGCACATGTCCAGAATCACCCCATAAATCAGACAGCAGCTGTGTGCAAGTTGAAAACGGTTAGATCAGATTTCAGAGACAGTCACTGCATGAAAGCTTTATCCTGGGTAATCAGATGCACAGTCACCCGTTAGTCACAGCAGTAAACCAGCGGTCTAGGCATCCACCCGGTCACATGACAGATCTGACCTTTTTGAACTTTCCTCTGTACTTGATGAGGGATTAATTGTGAGTGTGTTTTAGGAAGGCAGATGGCAGTTTGAAGATTGCGAAGAGCAGCATGCAGCAATCTGTAAGGCAAGGGGCCTTGTTCCCCAGCATCCTACTGGAGAATGGGATGAAGGATGTTCAGAGGTGAGAGCGTACTTCAACACACACATAATGATACATTTCGGTGAGGAGAAATGAAATTATAAATCCAATGGCAGTCTTGTTGAATTAAAATAAGAAAGTAACAAAATGAATTTTAAAGATCATGAAGTCATTTTTGCTTATGTTTTGGTAGCAAATGCAACAGTGACACATTTTTCATGTGTCTGATATTTTCTGTAGGCTGTTTAGAATCAGAGCTATTGATGTCGATCAGTGTTATTGTTAACTAAAACTATAACTATTAAAAATCATTTATGGCAATTGAAATAAAGCTGAAATAAAATATAAATACATTATTTGTATTTATGGCAACTAACCAAAATAAAATCTTTAAGTTGAATTTTTTCTAAAATTACTCAAATAAATATAAATAATAATACATTAAATCTATGTTTAATTATAAACACAAAAACAAAATATAAAAAATATATTTAAAAAACTAATAAAATAAAATAAATATTTCAGAATATTAATAAATACTATAATGGTATATAAATAATACTAAAATAAAACTAATGTCAATTCTCAAATTAATCATTCTTTTGAGTCGGTTCTTTTTAGAAATTCATTTACCATAGAGGTTAGCAAAAATAACCTGAATTGGTTAGTGATTCACTCTGAATCATTCAAACATTTAATTCAGTTCACTTTATAAAAGAGAAAAAGCGATGAATAAAGTGGAATATTTACCTACAATTGAATTTATTAGCTTAGCTAATAGAAACTTAACTAGCTATATTTTGGAATAGTTTGTCCAGCATTATCTGCTGGTTTATTTGTACCCCATCATTAATTTTTTCCTGTTTATTTTTATTTATTTATTTATTTGTTGCATGATTAATTGATAAAGTGACCTGCTATTATGTAGAATAAAGTAAACATCACCACACTAATATGATTGAAGTTCAAATTTCAAAATAAAAGCGCAGCAAGAACAAAAAATGAAAGTTCCCCAGTACAGTTGCAAACACACATTTTCCATGTCATTCAAAATACATTGCGTGAGAAACATATGAATAAAATGCAGTGATTCAGTGGAGGTCTTAAAAAACTCCAGTACCAAACTGCTTTTTCCCGTCTCATTACCGGCACTCTCTTTTTTCCTGCATTTCTGATTGGTTGTGCTTGAGATGGGCTTTGTGTGGGGGTGAGGAGGGCAGACAGGCCGTGTGTCTGAAGGATGGAGCGGCCGTCAGCGAGGGTGAGAGCAGGTCATGCCCCGAGAACAACGTACTGATTCAGATCTGTTCTGTTGCTCTGTTCCTGCTTTTACTGGCTTTGAAAAAAGTCGGCTGCGAGAAGAACAAACGTGACGTTTATTGCCAAACATAGAAAGGGTACTTTTCAGAGATGCACAAGTGCTAGTGCACGGTCATGTATGTGGCACACCCACACTTACTCAGCTTGTACTGTATGCAAAGGACAACCGTTTACTTCTGCTGAAATGGTTTTATATTGTACTGAAGGCAAAAGTGTGTAAATGGTGAAGATTTTAAATACATGCACTTTCCTCTTAACCTAAAATCTTGATCTTGATTAAAGTTCAGAGTTGGCCATCAGCTACCTGATTTTGTCAGTTTGTAGCTGTTAAAATGCTTGTTTCAGTCTGGTCTAGGTTATATGAAGGACACCGAAGTAAAGCCATTGAACTCAGGGTTAATTGAGGGCAGGTGTGAAAACAGCCAGATGCCACTAGAGAATTACAGCTAAAGCTGCATCCCAAATTGCCTGCTTATACAATGAACTATGCACTATTTACTATGAGTGACTAAATCATACCTGACTATAAGTGTCAAAATTGCATTTTTGAGAGAGAAAAAACACAGATAAGTTGCATTTATTACTACATTCAGAAATAATGTAAATAAAAATAAATCTTAAGTAAAATGAAATGTTTACAAACATTACAAACACTGTAAAAATTATTTTATTTGCCCTCACTCCACAAATCCTTTAAATGTAACTGTATCCAGAACAGAACTGGAATTGAAAAGAGGTATTAAACCAATAGAAATTCTAGAGGTGTTCATTATGAACAACATTTATGATAAATGCCAAGACTAAACAAATTTATTTAAGCAAAACTAAAACTACCGGCATCATGTGGGAAATGTGCTATATAAATAAACTTGGGATCACGTACTGCTCTAATTCAGCACGAATGCAACTGTGTGCGCTTTGAGCAGGTTTTGTGTGCTTGAAGTTAATTGCTCTTTGGAATATACTTTAAGTGGCAGCACGTTTCAAATGATAAAAAAAAAAAAACAGTGAAAGTATATTACGGAACATATGGTAGAAGTATTTGGTTTAATATTTTAGAGAAATATGATACACTACACTAATGACTAATTCCTGTACAATGCTTACTTTGTAGTGCACACTAAATATGACATATAAATCCTATACTACACACTACAAACCATAACAATCTGATTTTTTGAGGAAAAGCTGGTTTATCTGTTTCAGCATGGTAGTATTGTTCTTTCAAGTCTTCGTCCTTTTATATTAATAATGTATCTGTGTGTCAGTTAAAGCCTTGCAGCATCTGTTTTCATTGTGTTGTGTGTATATGCAGGGATGGAGAAGGAAGGACAACTGGTGTTATAAAATCACAGATCAGGAGCAGACGTTTGAGGATGCAGTGAAAGGATATTACTGCAGATCTCCTCTTGTTACTGTAGAAAGCAGGTATGTCAAAAACGCCAGAATGGAGTTTTGTTGGTATTAATCAGAGAAAGCAGTGTCTGTGAATGTTGACAGAACGTTGACAGCCAGACATATCGTTTGGTGTTTAGTCTCATCTGCCTCAGAATCTTCAAGGAGCGTTTTGGCAAAGCTCAGTCTGACTGCATGTGCTTGCTTGCATGCTTGTTTCTTGTGCTGTGGCAGCATTAGAACAAAAAAAAATACAAAGCATCAATTATACAACTGTAACTAGTTTGGTAATTGAATGCAATAGTATGGTAACTGAATAATAAAACATGAAATATGAAACTACCTAGTATACACTACCTTTCAAAAGTAAGAAGTCTCTCATGCTCTTTCTTAAAAATACAGTAAAAACTGTAATATTGGGAAATATTATTGCAATTTAAAAGAACTGTTTTCTATTTTCATATGTTTTAAAATGTAATTTATTCCTGTGATGCAACATCATCATCTCCAGTCTTCAGTGTCACATGATCGGAGTGTGTGGTTTCTCTTCGGCAGGTTTGAGCAGACCTTTCTAAATAGCCTGATCAGTGAAATGGGAGGCTCTCAGTACCGATTCTACTGGACAGCTCTGCAGGACCAGAACAGAACTGGCGAGTACCGCTGGCTGACTCAGAATGGCTCGTCGGCAACCCTCACCTACACCAACTGGAACCGACACCAGCCAGGTAAGTCCTTAAAGGGATAGTTCACCCAAAAATGAAAATTATGTCATCATTTTCTCACCCTTAAGTTGTTCCAAACCTGTGTAATTTACTTTCTTTACAAAAGAGATTATTCTGAAGAATGTTGGTAAGCAAACAGTTTCTGGTAGCTATTGACTTCCATACTGTGAAAAAAATACTACACTCTAAAAAATGCTGGGTTAAATATAACCCAGCATTTTTTAGAGTGTATGGAAGTCAGTGGCTACCAGCAGTTGTTTGGTTACCAGCATTCTTCAGAATGTCTTCTTTTGTGTTTAACAGAATAAATAAATTTATACAGGTTTGGAACCAATTGAGGGTGAGTAAATGATGACAGGTTTTTAATTTTTGGGTCAACTATCCCTTTAAAACACTTGCCACCATAAACCTGGGCTTGCAGGCGCAAGCAGACTGAAAGCTCTTCATTTAATGAATCATCTCTCTCCCTCTGTCTGCAGTGATTGGAGGAGGGTGTGTGGTGATGTCTGGAGGTCAGGCTCTAGGTCACTGGGAGGTGAAAAATTGTCATACCTTTAAGGCCCTGGCTGTGTGCAAACAGGAAGTTAGTGGTAACCATGACACCCTGATGCCTGTGCCACACATAGATATGAATGCACAATGTCCGACAGGATGGGAGAGCCGCAAAGGCCTGTCTCACTGTTACAAGGTAGTACAGAGAGTATATAATCATATACCCATTATTGAGAGTCACTGTACGCACTCATAATCTTGTTTTGAATTTGATATATTTTACCCATTGATTAATTATTATTCAGTCTGTTCCTGCCGTTCATGTCTGTTGGATCATGTTCTGAATGTTTGTTTGTTTGTTTGTTTGTTTGTTGTTTAGGTGTATCACAGTGAGAAGATCCTGATGCATCGCACCTGGACTGAGGCTCAGTTCTTCTGCCGGGCTTTGGGTGCTGATCTGGCCAGTTTCCATCACTATGAAGATCAGACTTTTGTCAAAAAGCTCCTCTCCATGATGTTCCAAAGGTTGGTTTACACGTTTTCCCACCACAAGTGGGGGTTTATACACTACTGTTCAATACTGGTCGGTAAGATTTTTTTTTGCTTTTGAAAGAAGTCTCTTATGCTCACCAAGGTTGCATTTATTTGGTAAAAAAAACAGTAACACAGTAATATTGTGAAATATTATTACAATTTCAAATAATTTTTTATACAATATATTTATTTTGTGGAAACCATGATACATTTTTTCCTATTATTTAGAGATGCACTAATATGAAATTTCTCAGCCGATACCGATAGCTGATTATTCCGAATGATATCTGCCGATACCGATGCCGATAATCTCTCCCAACCAAGTGGCAACCTCCCCGTCTCTCTCCTGAAACCAACATGGAAGTGACTAAAATTGCAATTCATCGACTGGCCACTAGAGGCTGGCTCCAAAAGGGAGTCAGTCCCATAGACTCCCAATGTTAAAATGCCCAACTTTACAGCAGAAAAAAATATGTTTACAAGTGGTTTTGGTCGCCTCTTTGCCCATTTTTGATTATCCGGGAGTGACGCAAGGTGATGCGCTGCCAAGATGGCGACGGCCAGCTCCTCCAACTTTGAGCTTCAAAAATGCTCTTCAGAAACCTATGGGTGACGTCACGGACACTACGTCCATGTTTTTATACAGTCTATGCTTCCAACTAATGCTGCAAACTACACAGGGCACATCAGAGGTTAAAATGAACAACAACACTATTATATTCAATGAAATTTGTTTCAGATCTAAATCTAAATTTAGATCTAAATAATCTTTTTCAGATATAAAAACACCCTCAAATAAAAACGTTTGTATACAACTCAATTGCACATAAGGTAGTTTTCATAAAAACTTGCCTTCATGACAGATTTATTAAAACATACATATATAATGAACAGTAAATAAGCTCCCTCTAGTGTTTTTTTTATTGCTAACTAACATACTGTAAACACTGGATAACTTTCCTGAAGTAAATGCAATTATGACATATTGTTATGACATATTGCTGTTTTATTTGACGTCTTTCTTTTGGTTAAAACACTGATTGAGCGATTATATGAGACATGATACATGTCGGTAAGTTGTAGGCTACTGTATCTTTGAATATACCTTCTGAAGTTCATTCATGTTAATGTTTAAAATTGAATTAAAGTGTTAGAGCATTACCACTAGAACTGAAGCTGCAAAAGTGATCTGTTACACCACACTTAAGAGCGTCAAAATGGCATTTATTGTTTGAATTTTTAGATGAAATGTACTGGATTTGAAAGCTAAGACTTTGTTTCTTATCAGAAGTATCAAAGCACAAAGCTCTTTGTGATAATTGGATTGAAGGCTCATTACAAATAATGTTTTGTGAAGGGAAAACGGCGGACCCTGCATCCGTGGCTTGAACTATGTGTGGTTCATAGGGTCAAATCAAACCCATGTTAACGGTTCTGCATTGTTGCGTTATTAGGCCTATTGCTTTAACCCGGACAGTCATAAATTTAACACAAGAAACATTTTCTTCATGCTAGTTGCTGTCGGACATGCTTTTCCGACACCTTTTGATTGACAGGAAATAATCAGCCCTGATCATCAGCTGTTTTTAAACAATCGGCTCCATATCACCTGGACTACTAGCGATTACACAATGTCGAGAGACCAACCTGAACGGGAACTTTTGTTTTGGAATTTTCTACAGTCTACACTAAGGTTCACAAGTCTGAGACCACATTGAAAACCTGGAATTCAAAATGTAGTTTAAACCTGGAAGGTAAATCAGAAAGAATGTTTCAGACGTTTTTAAAAAGTTACTATGCAAAATAAATAAATATTTAACTGGTAATGTTTCTAGGTCAAATAAACTAACCAAACTAAATAAGCTGACAAGTGACTTTTGGACCCCACTGTATATCTGTATATATTCGTAAAAATTGGAAAGAAAAAATAAATAAATAGCCTAATAATAATGAGGTAATTAACAAGTATAATTAATTTAATTTCAATTTTAAGATTAATAATTAATGTTAATTCTTTTTATTTCATGTTATTAGTTTATTTTGTCATTAAGAATTTTTTAATTAATGTATTTCTTTTTTCTCTCTCCTGCCTTTTCTTTCTTGTATGTTTTCAGTACAGAGGGTCGCTGGTTTTGGGTGGGCTTTACTAAGAGAAACCCTTGGTCTGATGGAGCCTGGGAGTGGTCCGATGGCACACCGGTAAAAAATTCATAGAAAAAGAGAAACAAACAAAAAGGCCTGGAAAAGAGAAAGCAGAGAGTCAGATGCTTTGGATATGTTTGAATATATTATCTACATGTAAAATAGAGAAGACATGAGATAGTCATGAAAGAACCTGTTCATCAGCTTGTTAAAGTATTGTCATGATGCTATTCTGCAGGTGGTGACATCGTTCATTGAGGATATGAATGAATTGGACTCTCGCATGTGTGCTGTGTACAGTGACCTCACAAACACTCTCACGCCTCACTCATGCGACTCCAAATATGAATGGATTTGCAAGGTCCCTAGAGGTATGGCTGTATTTTGGCTGTATGGATATAACATGTAATGGAACATTCATTTTCAACTTGCTGAAAAGACCAGCTTAGACATTCCTAAATTTCCACACTGGTTTCAAGGAATATTTTTATTTAATTGTTTTTTTTTTAAATTAGATGTAGTTATGTTGTATGAATTGTGTAAGTCTGTTTGTTGGGGCAAAACAACAAGATTTGTTGAAATGTAGGTATTTGATTTTTGGTTTCCTTAGGTGTGGAGTTGGTCAAACCATACTGGTACAGCGACCGTAAGTACAATGCAGCTAAATACTATAGACTAGAGGCTTATCTTCACTGATGATGTTGATGGTGATGACACTCGTTTGTGTTTATGGTGCAGAACAAGAGCCGTGGGTGTTTTTCCGTGGAGCTGAATATTACTTTGCCAGTAAGCCATTTCCCTGGGGGTCCGTCTCCTTTGCCTGTAAGATGATGGGTGCTGATCTGCTCTCTGTTCACTCTAGAGAGGAACTGGACTTCATCAGAGAACACATGATCAAGGTTTTATATGTATTTATTTATGTATTTATGTACACTACCATTCAAAAGTCTGCGCTCGGTACGATTTTTTAAACAAATGAATACTTTCATTCAGCAAGGATGCATTAAATTGATCAAAAGTAACAGTAATGAGATGTATAATATTAAAAAAGTTCATAAATTCTGTTCTTTTGAACTTTTTTGAATTTTTGAAAAACAAAAATATTAAGGAACACAACTGATTTCAACATTGATAATAATAAAGCAGCAAATCAGGATATCAGAATGATTTCTGAAGGATCATGTGACGCTGAAGACTGGAGTAGTGATGCTGAAAAGTCAGCTTTGCATCACAGGAATTACATTTTAAAATATATTAAATAAGAAAACGGTTGTTTGAAATTTTAATACTGTTCACAACATTTAATTTTTGATGAAATAAATGCAGCCATGGTGAGCATAAGAGACTATCTTACCAACCTTAAATTTCTGAACAGTTGTGTGTATGTATATACATATGGCAGAATATAATATTTACATGTTTCTATATAATATAGCATATTTATTTGTGTCTTTGTTGTAGGTCTCTGAATATTGGTGGATTGGTTTGTCTGCTAACAGTGGTCACAATGGTCTCAGGTGCCTTTCTTTGACTACCATGATGAGTCTCTTTTACAGTATAATTAGAAAAAAAGTTGACTTTTCATTTATTTATTTATTCATTAATAAAGTTGTATATAATAAGTGAAAGATAAAGGCAGAAAATATTTTTTGAATAATTCTTATGATTCTTATGATTTTTATTTTTTTAAGTTCAAAATAAACAGTATTTTTGCAATTGCATTTGGTCAACAAATATTACAGAAATCACACACTTCACCTTTAAGAAAGAAAAAGGAGCACAAGAGGAACGTACAATATGAAGCTTCATTTTGGGATTTGTGTGTTTTATGTGTTTGCTTTCTGCAGTTGGACTGATGGATCCGCTTTGGATTATGAGAACTGGGAAAATGGTCGATTTTACCGAAAGCCTGGCCAAAACTGCATCCAGATGTCGTCTCAATCTGGTAAACAATCACTTAAGCACACACAAGTACCATTATCCAGTATACTCAAACACAGCTTATCAACAACGTTGTGCAGGTCAGTGGTCAGCAGGAAGCTGTAAAGATCGACATGGTTACGTGTGCAAGCGCAGAACAGTGTCTTTAGTGGAGGATCCACGCGAGCCTCACTATGTCGGCCGCTGCCCAGAAAACTGGTTCTACTATGGACACAAGGTTTATTTCTTTATATATGTTTCTTTGTTTTGAGATCATTTTAAGTATTGTATATTTTTTAGGGCTGTCAAATCGATTAATCACATCCAAAATAAAATTTTGTGTTTACATAATATATGTGTGTGTACTGTGTAAATTTATATGTATATATAAATACACACAGATACATGTATATATTTAAGAAATAAATGTAATATATATTTATATTTACAGTGGGTACGGAAAGTATTCAGACCCCCTTAAATTTTTCACTCTTTGTTATATTGCAGCCATTTTAACTTAAATGATTTTAGCAAATGGCTGCAATATAACAAAGAGTGAAAAATTTAAGGGGGTCTGAATACTTTCCGTACCCACCGTATATATAATATAAATCATATATAAATATGAATATACAGTGTATACAGAATATACAGTGGAGATCAAAATTAGAGAATAATCTATAAATACTTGAATTTTTTCTGAAATATTGTTAATTTTCATCACTCAAAATTAAAGGAATATTAGCTGTTATACTACTAACATGTTTTACAATATAACCAAAGCATTTTGTGGAAAACACAGTGATCAAAATTAGAGAACAGTAACCACTGTAGCACGAAAGAAGGTTACAACTAAAATTTTGGAGGGTTACAGCTGTCAGGAATTTGCAGTGTGACAGGGAGCATTGTCTTGCATTAAAATTGCAGGCTGATTGGGAGATGCTTGTAGAAGGAGGTTCGAATAAACATTTTCATTCACTCTGCCATGTAGCTGTGTAAGGACGTGTTCACACTTGGCATCTTTTTTTGAAGCTGCCACCATCTGTTTTACATTATAATCCTTTGGAGTAAACCGTGTTTTCAAAAAAACCACCGCCGCCGTTTTTTTCTGCAGCTCAGAGCATCTTTTCAAGTTGAAAAAAGTTGAACTTTTCTGAAAAAAAAAACGCCCTACGTCAAGCGCCTTTTTGACAGCTGACCAATGACAAGCGAGTAGCGAGACCTGTCGTTTCCATAACAACAAGAACAAGAAAAAATGGAGAAGGTGCCGGTAGATAAACTGATCGTACTAGTTTCGGAGTTATGTGATATGAGCACAAAATATTTAGTATAATAATAATGTTTTAATGTTTAGTCTAAAATATGCCGCAAACCGTGCATCATCCAACCGGAGCTCCTGGACTAAATTGTTGTAAGCACCATACTGGTTCCTTCCCCGTATAATGTCGTGCACCCCCAAACGTTGTTGTAAACCGACATTCTCTTCCCCGTTAACTTCAAAAGCCAACGCAAGAGCCAATTTCCTCTTTCTCAACATTTTTGCACCACACAGCGCTAGGCTACTGTTGCAGCTGATGCTATAGCAACAAAAGACGCCCTTGTCAACTTTTTCTTGTCAAAGAAGACACCAAGTGTGAACATAGCCTAAGAGGCCCAACTCCTGCTGCAGAAAGCATCCCCCAAAGCATGACACTTCCTCCTCCACCTTTCACTGACTTTACACACTCGGGGTTCAGTCTTTCCCCAGTTTGATGCCGAACATAATGTTTCTCAGACCCAAGTAAATTAAACTTGCTCTCATCACTAAAGTGAACTTTGGACCAGTTCTCCTCTATCCACACAACATGCTCCTCAGCAAAGGTTAGTCTAGCCTTTTGATTCTTTCTGCTTATGAGAGGCTTAGTCACTGCAGAGTGCGCTTTCAGTCCGATTTCTCTTAAACGTGCCGAGACAGATCCTTACCCTGTTCATTGCTGAACTGGCGAGCAATTCCAGCTGCAGTGTTGAACCAATTCCCCATTGAGAGTCTCCGCATTATCCTGTCTTCTCGTGCATTTGTCTTATGTGGACGACCAGCCTTTTTGGGTGACTTGAATGAATTAGTGTCACTGTAAAGCTGCAATATTCAAGAAATCACAAATTTAGAACGACCAACTTCTCGTGCAGTGGCTGAAAGGGTCATCCTTTCACCTTCATCTGGACAACCTGCTGTTGCAGGGTTTCAGTCCCCTTAGAGCTGCCCGCCATCTTGCAATCTCAGTGAAAATTAGAGGAATGCTGCCAGTTAAATAGGGTTTGTCATATAATTAAGGAAATTAGCACCAGGTACCAGATTAACACCAATAACTTGGAGGTATCTGTAAGGGTTCTCTAATTTTGATCAGAGTTGTTTTTCAAATATTTCATTTAAGTTTTTTATACTGTGCTTCAGAATACAATTAATTTATGAAATATGCTTAAAAAGCTGCCCTACTACTCCTGTTAGGATAAGTTAAAATAGGACTAAGCAGTGACCTTGAAATTTAGGAAATTGTAGGTTGTTCTCTAATTTTGATCTACACTTGTATATACATGTAAATATTTCTTAAATATATTATTGTATAAATAAAATGTTTTGCAGCCAAGTTATACAGAACATAATAGAATTCAGTCATTTTTCTCATTAATCATGAGAAAAAATATAAAGCGGAAAAAATACTGGACATTTTTCACAACAGTTTTTAAGTAAAAACATTTTAACAATTAACTGCTAATAATGTAGGCTCATGCTTTTTCTCACTAATGAATTACAATTCATTAAATGATGAATTAATATTAATAGCACACCAGAATTATTATAGACTGTGTTTCTATTCATTTGCTCAAGATATGATCTTTTTTTATTCACTATTTTAGGTTCTTGGGTTTTATTGTATCATTGAGAATTGCTTGTTTGTGATTGGTTGCCAGTGTCTATTTCTGCATCTCCCAACCCATCCGGAAGATGGGAAAACCTGGCAGGATGCTCAATCCATCTGCTCATCCTATCAGGGATCTCTGGTGTCCATAGAGGACGAAATTGAACAAGGTAAATATCACATCTTCATTATATTAGAGTTTCTGATGTTGTTTTGTATTGACATTTTTGTGGTTTTTGCCTTTTGATTGAAGCTTACATCGTCATGCTGCTTAATGGCTGGTCAGCGGGGCTTTGGATTGGTGCACGGGGTCGTTTTTCCTCTAAATGGAGCAATGGGAAGCCACTCAGCTATAATAACTGGGAGGTATAAAGACTCAGGATTTAATATATTTGAAATGTAATTTGATTTCAACACTATTTTAAAATGTTTTTCTGTGTGTATGTCTGCAGATGTCTAATTATAGATCTCCTGAAGAACCTCATTGTACTTACCTGTCCAACAGTCACAACTTCCGGGTGACAGGGCTATGGCAGGATGACGTCTGTACTGAGAGCGTCTATGGCTTTGTCTGCCAGAAGCCGCAAGGTAAGCTGATTTTAACAATATTAGAAATGTTTTTAATTCATTGGCATTGACCGATATTTAATTGCGGATATACATTTCCTCTTATTTTTACATTTATATTGCCTTTGTCTTTATCTATCACTCACAAATTTACTGACAGTTTACTCAGGGCATCCAAGATGTAGATGAGGTTGTTTCTTCATCTGAACATTTGGATAAATTAAGCATTACATGAGTTGCTCACCAATGGATCCTCTGCAGTGAATGGGTGCCGTCAGAATGCTGACAAAAACATCACAATGATCCACAAGTAATCCACAGAACTCTAGTCCATAAATGAACATACAAAGCATACAATGCATCTTTTCACTTCACAAGATGTTAATTGATGGACTAGAGTCGTGTGGATTATTTATGGATTATTGTGATGTTTTTATCAGCTGTTTGGACTCTCATTCTGATGGCACCCATTCACCGCAGAGGATCCACTGGTGAGCAAATGATGTAATGCTACATTTCTCCAAACCTGTTCTGATGAAGAAACAAACTCTTCTACATCTTTGAAGGCCTGAGGGTGGGTACATTTTCAATTTTCATTTTTGGAGGAATGATTCCTTTAAGGCAAAACCATTTTTTTTTCCCAAATGGTCAATTTTTAGATTTTAAGCTATTTTGTTTCCATAACATACACTGAACAAAATTATAAACGCAACACTTTTGTTTTTGCCCCCATTTTTCATGAACTGAACTCAAAGATCTAAGACTTTTTCTATGTACACAAAAGGCCTATTTCTCTCAAATATTGTTCACAAATCTGTCTAAATCTGTGTTAGTGAGCACTTCTCCTTTGCCGAGATAATCCATCCACCTCACAGGTGTGGCATATCAAGATGCTGATTAGACAGCATGATTATTGCACAGGTGTGCCTTAGGCTGGCCACAATAAAAGGCCACTCTAAAATGTGCAGTTTTATCACACAGCACAATGCCACAGATGTCGCAAGTTTTGAGGGAGCGTGCAATTGGCATGCTGACTGCAGGAATGTCCACCAGAGCTGTTGCCCGTGAATTGAATGTTAATTTCTCTACCATAAGCCGTCTCCAAAGGCGTTTCAGAGAATTTGGCAGTACATCCAACCGGCCTCAACGTGTAACCACACCAGCATCTTCACCTCCAAGATCGTCTGAGACCAGCCACCAGCTGCTGCAACAATCGGTTTGCATAACCAAAACATTTCTGCACTAACTGTCAGAAACCGTCTCCGGGAAGCTCATCTGCATGCTTGTCATCCTCATCGGGGTCTCGACCTGACTGCAATTCGTCGTTGAAACCTACTTGATCTCATGATAATTCGTATGTATTTTACATAAAATGTGGTACTATAAAACGTACATTTACTTACGTTTTTACAGGCACTAAAACGTACAATACTGACGTATTTTC